CTCGCGAAGTCTCAGAAACGAGCGATGCCGTCAGCTTCCACTGACTGGCAAGAAAGAACTCAAGCACCCGTTCCACGGGTGAGAACCCAAAGCACCCTCCCCAAGGGTGATCAAAGACATCGCCTAGGAAAAACAAGAATGGACAGGGAAGTCCCAAGTGAGGAGTGTCTGGCCGGATACCCTTCGGGTGATCGTGACCAGCTGTTCAAGCTCCTTGTTAGACATGTATGGTGCAGCTCCTCGGATTAGGCCCGATGGCATGGTTTTACCCCACGAATTGTGCTCTCTCGGCACGTGCATACCTGGGTGAAGGGCGAACGAGAGCCGACGACGACAAAAAGTCAACCGCCCCTGCACCCATCGGATCAGTGCACGAAAGGTGCAGTGTTCATCCTCTAACAGTTGGCACTTCCCTTTACGCAAAACCAAAAGCACCGCAAGTTGAGCTTGCGCATTCACTCCATCGGTTCTCTTTGCAAAATTTTAAAGTAAAACCTCTTCTTATGGGCCTGGTTCTTCAAGGTGACCCTTTGACACCCTGGTTTGAGGTCACTTAGCTCTGGAAAAGCTGGATGGGACTCCAACAAGGTCACTTCGAAGAAGCTGGTGATTTTCACCTAATCATGAGTCTACATGAATTAGGAGACAGCAGAATGGTCGACCTTCCTCTATCCCCCCGCTGAGGCCACGACTGACCATTCGGCAAGCCGCTCACCATCACTGGATTGTTGGCACCTGCCGGGCGAGGAATTCCAGGATTCGAAGAATCCAGCCCGTATAACATCTCTGGTGGGTCTCCCATGATATTCTACTCCTTGCAAGGCTCTTCGGCATGGGATCGGAGTTCTATCAGGGAGACGTTCATTCTTCCGGGCCATGCCAGCGGCAAGCAAGGTCCATGGTGGCATTTGACGAGAGTAGGGAAGCGCAATTTCTATCTGATAAAGATCTCTTACATCTGAATCTGCCTAGATCTCATTAACGGCTATCTTTTGGTAAGTCCGAGCTCCTCAAGCATCGATGGGCTCACTTTCACTCTTCTGATTGCATCTTTTTGCCACAAATCTCAGATCATACAGGGAAGTACCAATGGGTCGTGCCCCGCGCACGTTCGCTTGCCTACGACACCACCACCAAAGGCAGCTGCATAATGGTTCCTCAGCGGGTGAGGCTCACAGGATGAGGCCCCTCCGCGACTTTCTTCCAGGTCAAACACATCCTGTCCACACAGAGAACAACATGTTGCCTTAGGCTTTACGCCCATAATAATATAGAACAATATACAATTAGACACATAATAGACACATACTCGACAAGATCAAATATGTGTGGCGCCGTCCGTCATTCAACTGAAAGGGGATACAATGTGAAACAACCCATCTTCCTTGCCAATCGAACTACATCAAATTCTTCCAATGTTTTCCCAGGCTGGCGAGGTGAAAAAACATCAAGAAAACACGTGAAGATGGTCCAGCATGATGGTCCAGCATGTCTGGGAATCAGGTAACACCGACGGATGTGGCCTGAACGGAGTGTTCCAAGTCATAGGAATCAACATCTTCACCCCACATGTACTTTGTGTACTTTGATTGTTCAAACAGCTGAATTTCATAGAAGTGCATGTTATGAATTGTTTGATTCTAGTGCTACCCAGGAATCTAGGATGGTAGTGGTAGTATACAGACGTATACAGTATAACATGCTTGATAGTTTTAGGAGCATCGCAGAACGGAACAACTTCCAACTTGTCTAGTTGCCCGGCTGGAACGACCATAATGTGCGTTCATCTGTTTAAGTGTTGCCAACTGTCCATCTGTCTTTGTGAATAGTGAATGAAAACAATTCTGGATGTCCTGCTTTCTTCAACCCATCGATACCCCCATTAAAAATGTATACGCACAAAAATATACAGTATATTATTCAATGATGCATACCAAAAACTCCGTGGCGAATTCATTGGAAGTCTGAAGCTGAAATTTGTCTCGCGAAGCTCTCCCGAGCTCCCCAACGCCGATGTTTTTTGGTGCCTGGACTGGTGGTTGAAAGGGCCTGGCGGCTTCAGAATCTCCTTGTCCAAGTCGAACGACAAAACGTTACGCATTTAAGACTTCCCTACCCTTTCAGCTATATCACATGATATAGCATGATATAGAAACTGCCCAACAAAATCTTTTTAAAAAGCACAGCTCGTCTATCTTTTAGGCTCATTTTTCACAAGGAAGAAAATGTTATATATAACATCCCTGTTTAACAACTGTTTACGTGTTTAATCCTCAGATCTTGGTGTTCATGACACACGCCCCCGACACGATCCTTTATTGGAAGGATGCAATTGGAGGCTAGCAGTGCAAAGCGTGACTTTCGATCCACTCGGGTGACTCCAGTGCAACACTGCCAAGTGCCCGAAGTTCTGCGTCTGCTCAACAGCTGGCCGTTCTGACGCAACTAATAGGCTCACCATGCTGGCTGGAAGTGCCATCTACCCACTCTAGCCTCGCCATCTTACACTATCGACCATCGTGGTTCGGTGGATGGCGTGCTGGAAGAATCATTTCCTAAGACGCGGCAGGGGCTCTTCCACTTCAATGCTTGTTTGTTCCCCAACAGCGAAGCTTAGGGGGGCCCTCAGCCATAGCATATATATATATTTGCATGTATTATATGTAAAGGCTTCGGCACAAACCAGAGCAGCCCCAGCGGCAGGTTCCATAGAAAGTTCCAGAGCAGGTCCAGAATCAAGTTCTGGAGCAGGTTTCGGGCCGTGACATGATTTGTGTTGTGATGCTGATATGCTTATGTGGTGTCAGGCTGACATGTTGTTGTGCTGGCATGGGTCACGCTAACATGCTAATATTTTTGCCAAGCAGGTCACGCTGTCACGCTGACTTGAGTCCAGAGCCGGTTCTGGAGCATGTTTGCTGGTTTTTGCTTGTAGTGGCGTTGTTGTGCTTGCACATACGTGGGCACATGATATGTGCTATGCCGACGTGTTGCCGGGTTGGTATGCTCATGTGGCTTGAACAGGTTCACACATTTGAAGACAGCATTGTCTGGCACACGACACGACACTGGTTGGTGAACCTGTGATGGTTTAAGTTGCCTTGTAGGGGGATTTAGATGCCCAGCTGCTGGGGATTCTTCTTGGGCTTATTGGATGGAGAGTCACGGACTTGTTTAAGCCCCTGCCTTACAAAAAACTTATCCTTGCTATTTGAACCACACGAGTCGACATCCCATCGAAAAACATAAATATAAACATGGACCGAAAGCCTCCTCTGCCTCCTCTTGAATGAAAGGTCTAGAATGAGTGACGCTTTCGCGGAGTTCTTGACTCTTTGGAGGCATGTTTGCATGTGCGTCAAGCACTTTGAGGATTGGCGCAGTGTGAATGCGCAGTGTGCAACCCTCAGGATTTTTTAGCCGTTCTTTGGGTGGGAGCTCCAAGAAGTGCCAGGCACACGCTCCAGAGGCACTCGAATACCCACCAGTCCTCAGATTGCATGCTCCAGCATGGGTTTCACCATCCTCTAGGTATAGAGTATAGGGCTGTTTTCGGGGCCATGCAAGGAGTTCGGTCGCTTCGGAAGCTGCGTATAGGGCGCCGAAAGCGGGCGGTCTCGTCGTTTCGGAGTTTGATCCTCTCGGGGTTGGTCTTTGAATCCAGCAGTGAGGGGAGATGTATACCCAGACGTGACCTGTCTGGGATTGCGGACCTGCCAAAAAAAGGGCAGGGGTGGCCAGGGGGGTGTTTCTGGGGCGGCAGTCCTATGGCAGTCCCATAGGTCGCGTCTGGGGTATGTGATGTATCTTCCATACGGATCTAGACACTCGTTGGAATCACCATGGTTACATGGATGGCATGGCCCCGTGGTGGTTTTCACTCACTCTACGAAACCATGATGATTCCAGGGAGTGCCATTATCAGAAAATCCGAGGCCATAGGCTGGAGGCCATCGCTATTAGGTTGGAGATGCTTGGTGGCTATGGGGTTGGAGGCCATCGCTATTGATCATGTTTTCTCTACCTGTTTCAGTAGCCTCAACCCTCCCTGGCAAGAAATGGGTTTGAAAGAATCCTTCTGGAACCGCTGCTATCCTCCCATGCGGCCCGAGACTCCCAGGCTGCGCCCCTGGAAACTGCCCAGGCCTCAGCAACAACCGGAGACTCGAGTGGTTAATCAGTTTTGGATCAGATTTCGATGATTGTAACCCCTATCCTTGTAGAGTAGTCAAAACGAATTCCCAAAGAAAGGGCCCCAGGGGGACTCTGGATTCTTCAGAGGGCTATGATGAAAAAGACGAAAAAGACGACTACAGGGCAGGCTTTCAGAGTACCCTACTCTGAAAACCAACCGTGCAAAGGGAAACCAAGAGTAGGACAATTATTGAAGATCAAGCGCACACCTCGCACATCCGCTTTTCCCGTTCCATTCAGTTTGTTCTTGTTGTGATGGGTATATTTTAATGTTGTTAACTGACTTATGACCTGAATTCTGTGAAGGTGTTTCATGCCGCCAACTCAAACTTCCTTCTTTTGTGGAAGATCAACCTTTCCTGTCGGGTGGAGTTCCAGCATTTTCTTGCCCAATCAGAGAAGAGATTCAGATATTGCCAGGTGTTGCAAAGGAGTGGAATGATGGAAGCTCTATAGGTGACTCTCTCTCTCTATATATATATAATTTGTGAGATACAGCAATTTAATTAATGTACTTGATCATAATATTGAGATATTGGCCCTGCGATCAAGCAATTGCTCTGACCGTCACTTGCCGTCATTGGTTTTGAAGCTCCAATGGTACCAACAACAGGATCTTCCGTTCTGGGATAGACTCTTCACCAAGATGCCCTTGCGGCTGGCTCACAGGCTGACAAATGCGAGGTTGGTCGGTCTGGCACGTTGCGAGGCTGGCAGGGTCATGACCTATCAAAAGATCAAAAGCTGGGGCATCCCATTCGGTTCCCGCTTTTGGACGATCTTTGGCAAAAACTCGTTGGCAGGTTCTAACGAACAGGGCTGCAGAATATTCCAAAGGGCTCTTCGCACCTATCTTGAGTACGGCCGTCGGACGCACGCGGACGAACGCGGACGGCCTCCTTTGAACCGGCCACCCAGCCCCAGATGGTGTCCACACCATCCAAGACCAGGTCCAGGGCATCAATAGTAGCATCCTCCAAGCTGCTGTGGCTTAGTGGGAGATCATGACATCGGCTGAGAAAAGCTGGGATTGAGAAAAGTCATTAAGCCTCTAATGTGGTTATATATATAATGTTAGAGATGTGGCAACCAAAAAATTCGCCAAAACCGCGCCAAAACCTTAAAATTTCTGGGTGAGGCGGATCCGACCGAATCATCTCAACGTTTCTCTTTGTGACCGACGAGTCAACCGTCTAAGAACGTGGAACGAGGACGGTCTCAAATCTGCTCTCCAAACTCTGAACCGAACGGTTTAGAAACCAAGGTTTTGGATCAAGGTTGAATGTAAGCAAGTTCAGTTGAGAAAAAGCAATTTTCAGCAAGTTAAGCTATTTTGACCAGGATTCCAAATCAGATATTGGTCTCAGTTTCTTCGTTCCGATCCGTTTTTCATCCCATGTGAAATCCCCATAATGCCCACCAATCGAAAAATCGCCATGAACTCGCGCACATGCCTACATGCATAACACATACACAGCCACAGCATCCAAAAAAAGCCCAAACCGGCCGCCCAGCGTCTAACACAACGCCGCCAACGCGGCCCCAAAGCGTTCAGGTCTCCGATCTCGGGCCTTCAGAGCGCCCACCGCACCCTTCTCTTTGAAGTCATCGACCATGTCACCTCGCGTTCCCAACTCGCGGGTTCACCGAACTCGCGGGGAGCTCGGGGAACTCCCTCAAACTCCTTCCCCTGGTCACCGGCCTAGCTGGCGCTGGGGTCACTTGTCCACCCATTGTTGTCTGAAGCTGTTCAAACTGCTGCATGGTGTGAGCTGATAGCTGATGTGTTTTCTTTTTGATTGGTTCGGTGATGTCAAATGGTTTCGATGGTTGAACCCGCCGTGTTCAGCATCTGTTTATTCCAAAAAAGGCCTCACCACCTGCTAATTGAAGCACTCCTGATGCCCTTGTGCATTGTCATACACATTTATAGCATATATTTAAATATATGCATGAGCATATATTATGAGCTGTCTGTGCTTATATAAATGTTTACAACCATACATTTCAAGAATGTTATTTTGCTCCTTGGAACAATCCGGTGAACAAAAGCATTACTGTGGAGATGCTCCACAAGCGACTGAGCTTAGTATATTTGACTCTGTATGAAGAAAGGTCCAAACGAGGGACATAGAAGGCATGGAGCGCCTACACAGGCAAATCAACTCAGAAATCATCCAGATCACCCAGCTCCTTTTCAAAGACTCTTTGGATCTCTTTGGCTTTAAAACAGATCAATGCTAGCTGCTAGCAAGTCCCCGCTAGATGGCATAGAAATTGAGTGTTTTTCTGAGCCAGAAAGCACCGAAAGCACGTCACCATGTGCTTCTTCAGATCGAATCATGCGCAGCATGGCGCGCGTGCGCGCGCCAAGTCTCCAGGCCAATGGAATCGGCCACAAACTCCGCGGCCTCGCGGCGTTTGGGCAACTTGGAAGCATTGGTTGCGGTGGTGTTCTTCTTCCTCCTTCCGCCACATGACAACCAGCTGGTCCAAAGAGTGTCGAAAACGGTTTTCCTCACTCTTAACCTCAAAGATGTTGTCCAAATGGTTCGCTAGCAAAGGTTGGGGCACTCCCTGTGGCTGCGAGCGGCTCCCTGTTTGGGAAGAACTGGATGTATCCCCGGTTCGGAAGCCGCTCCCTTTTGAGCCACCAGGTAGGATCCTTAAACCTATCGAAGGTGTTTTGTCTTGGTGCCTGTTTCTGTTGTCCCATCTGGTCCGGTTGCTCGTTGGAGAGACTTCTGTGTTGATGATCTCGACCTCGAACGTGGATTTGAACACGTTTTCATGTCATGATCTGAAGTATCGTAGCCTAGGTACTCGAAGAACGGACTCAAACCAACACAAGAGATTTTGAGGGTACAAGTTTCTGCCATGAATAGTGAGTTCCGTATGAACTAGAGGTGAACTGGGTTTCCAGGGTATCATAACCCTCGTTCTGATAACATGCGATAACATGCGGTGACGTATTTTTGGAAAAGGTTTGCGTGTCATTCTGAACACGGTTTTCACCACTTGCTCTTTGCAAAAACTGACTCACTAAAAAGTGTCCCCTGACCCAGTTGCTGAAACACCACCTCCGCACCTGACCGGCCACCCCGGCTTTCTTCGTGGGCTCCTCCTGGCGTAAACACTTCAGAAACGAAAATGATGGAGTGTTCCAACCTTGGTACGAGTACTTTTCGTTCTGTAGCGGTGGGTCCAGTATCTATATATCCTTTGGTCCACGGTGGGTCTTCATCAACTCTATTTCTTGTTTTTATATACCACGAACACCGACCCGAGATGACGAATCGAGCCTGTCAACCCGATCGCTTCGGGCGGCCGATGTCTGACGTACTCGCTTCCGCGGGTGGTCTGGGGGTACCTGTCAACCCGATTGGATGACCAACGCAACAACTACAAAGTGGACCGACCCAGTACTGGATGATGGTTAGCTAAGGCCTTTATCAAAAGTGATTTGTTTACCGACTATTACAGTCAATAGGACCAACAACAACATATAAAACACGTGCAGACGTTCTCATATGTGCAAGAAACATCAATAAAAACACAATATATAGACTTATAGAAACTGTTACACTTCTATGCAAAGATATGCAAAGATATCATGCACTTTGAGTTTGTTTAAAGCCCAAGTCCATTTTAGAGTTCTCATGAATATGGCTTCAGCTACAGTAGTAAGTCAGTGATTTATAAAGGCAAACGTCAAAGTACTGCATGATTATTTTTCTCAGCGCCTTCTTTTAGGCAAAATGCAGTATTGCTCCTCAGCCTACTCGAGTGAAGTAGAAATTACGTACCTGCTACCTTGGGTAGATACCAATTCCAGTCCAGGATGCTAAAAGATAGATGTTTACAAGCAACATTTACGTCCATCTTGTGCTCGTGGCCCACAACGATCCGTGCTCGGCAAGAGACTTGCGACTTCCCTGGTCCTTGGAGAACCGCTTCAAGCAATTCCCTATAGACTGCCGAGGTGCGATGCTATCTATATTCTGCATGAGCGCGGGACCGTAGCCATTTCTTCCGCGCTTGCCAATTTGCAACAAGGTTCGATGCACCCGTAGTCTTTGGGAAGACTGCAGCGCCGCCAGGTCCCACGGTCGATCCAGCATCCCCTTGATGGTTCCCTGCATGGCCAGAGCAACTGCCTCAACCTCCTTCATGGCTCTCTGAATGATCCACTGACGCTGGTCCTGCGGCGGCAACTCCGCCTGACCAGTGATGGTGAGGAGGTCCAAATGAGCCTGGTTCGACCAAGTGCCACGAACACAACGCGCATGCTCATACAAGAAAGCAAGAAGACATGGGCTGCCAGACATGATCCGAAACTCAACCCCCACACTGGCAAAGTGGCTGGCCAAGAAACCCACCCTGTTAAAAGCACTGAGGGAATTGGAGATCTTTTCGGAAGTCCCAAAATCATCCGTGCCAGTTTGCGCTGCATGAGGTCCACCTTCTGTAGCTCACTCCTGCTCAATGCAATTGTTGGCAGCAGAAACTTTGCAGTGGGTTCGACATACACAGCCCGCAACTGACAGAGCAAGATTGGCACCTGTTTGGCTCGAGCCCATTGAAGGAACTGGCCAGTCTTGGTGCGGAGCCGGGACTGCAAGTCATCGAGCAGTGGCCCATGAGAACCTGCCCACAATGGAGAAAGCCGCCCAAGTACCGATAGGAATCAACTTCAGGCAAGGGTTGGCCATGAACTCTCAATTGCACCATCGGCTCACGAACAAGCCCTCGCAAAGCAGCTGTCTTGACCACACCAATGTTCAGCCTCATCAGTATGCTGTCAGCCCAAGAGGACGCCACATTCAGCGCTGTCTGTGCCCCCCTCCCGCGAGGAGGACGGTAATGCTACATCATCCACATAGGCCTGAGCTGGGAAGATGCCCTGGGCAATCGGGACACCAGCTTCTAAACCAATGAGATTGCTGCATAATGCCAAAGTGACTAAGCCAAACAGTACCATGGACAAAGCACCCCCCTTGCTAAAGACAAGTGTGGTTGGCCCACTTTCCATGCAGGCCACCAAACAATGCAGCCCTGGACTGCAAACTTGACAGCAACGTAGCGGGGGAACAAAATATCGCTCGCCCGGATACCGGCAATTGTCGCAGGCAAGAGACGATCGCTTGCATTGGAGGCCGGCAGAACGCCGACTGACGTCCATGAAAGCTAACATCATGCCTCGGGGCAACACACCATTAGCGCGCAACTGTATCAACTCAGCCATACATGTAAATGCTGTCTCGGCTCCATTGCACCCACCCAGCTGCCATGGGTGGCCATAGGCGGTTGAACATGAGACGGTCCAACTTTTTCAGGCCAAGAGGCATGAGTGATACAGGTCGGTGTCATTCGATTGCGCATCTGTCTTCTCCAGGCTTCAACAAGGGGGCAACGATCAAAGTAGCCCAGCAGGGCGGGATCCACGCGACCATGCACAAGTTCAACAAGGCATGCAAACATGCGCCCAGAGGCATCCTTTTAAAAGCCTGAATGGTTTTTACGTCCAAAGCCTGAACACTATTGATATATTTGAGTGTTGTGAAATAGACCATGTTCAGGATGTTCAGGGATTACGGTAAAACACGTCCCGGACAACAATTCTCGTCCTTACATACCAAAAGACAACAATTAGCGACATGGACAACAAAAGGTGGTTATAAGGTTTAGCAGGTATATATATATATGTGATTATATAAATAATATAAATTATATATACTGCTACAAAAGCGTTGTCGATTGGGGACATCTCCATGGAAGAACCCCCCCCTGGGTGCCGAATGCTGCCCTAGTCACCCGGTCCGTCCCTCCTCCGGTGGCGGCTCAAAATTGCCAAAGCCCTGGCGACAAACATGAGCCGTCGGCGAGCAGTCGTGTATTCCTTTATGGTGGAACTTCGGACATCCAGTCATCCAGTCCTCTCCTTCAAAAAGGCTAAATGGGAACAGTCCTCTTTTTCTGTTCCTCTTAAAGCACGTCAAAGCGATGTCACTCGAAGCGATGTTCGAAAACAGCAGGACGTCCCGTTGTTCTGTCAACTGTGAAGGGATTCGGCAGAGAATTCCCCCAGCCTGGCATCTTGCCTTCAAAGATGCACCTGGTCAAGCCATGAAAGAAATCACCGAGAGACACACCACGAGGTGATCAAGCCATGAATGGGGACATTTGCAACGTTGGCATTAATCCTACCATTGAATGAACTTGCATATTTTTCATTGATTATATTTATTGCCTATGGAATTTCATGAATCATCAAGATCGGGTCTCTTGAAAACAAAGTGCCATTCTTGTGGGTGGTCGTTTACACCGGCGCGTCGCGTCGGCCTTTCTTCGGCACGCGACCCTGGGCCTTTTTGCGACTCAAAGTCAGAGGGACGGTATACGAGGTGGGGCTGGTAAACCAGCGTCGTTCAGGTCCGGCCAAATGGGACTCTGGTTTTTGCTGGTGTTGACCATAGAGAAGACCAGGATTTAAACAGATCGCAGGTTGATTCAGGTTTCTGTTGGGCGTCCAAATTTCTATTTAGTTTAGAGTTTAGAGATGCTTGGAGTTCGCAGGGGGCAGGTTTAGCGCCTGCCCAAGCGCTGAAGAAAGTTCTAAAGATATGGTCAACAGTAGCACCAGACTGGCAATCCACTGGTCTGGTTTCAACCTCGTGGCCGTCGTGGTATTAAAAAAAAACACATCACTAGTGGCCCCCCCTTGGTGCCCAACCATATTGGTGCCAAAAGAAAAGGACAAAGCCAGGAACGGAAAGGACAACAGCAGCTGATGTCAGCATGATATTAATATATATTAACCTTCACTTCTGAGGGGCCGTGAAAAGAACATCTTGGACTTCCTGGACGAAGCTCTGCTTAAGCCCAGTCAAAAAAGTTAGCGACCTCACTTAGTCTCACTATGTGTGCCACCTGAAAAGCGACCCAGGTTCAGAAAAATTCAGTCGTCTTCGACTGGTGCTTTCTTGCACGTTGCATGTGCACAAACAGATCCTTGACGGACTGGATCTTCCTGGGCCGACGAGTGAAGCGAATCCGACGAATCCTGGCGTCACGGGTAGACTCACACTTGGTGACTCTGGAGACCTGACTAGAGTAAGGACCAGAAGGAAAGATATGTCAAGGGTCGTCCAATTGTTTGTTGGCTCACTGTTTGGGGTGAACCAGGGTGTGACCTAGGGTGGCCCACATGGGAATTGCGCTGTTGGCTTCCAGTGGGGTGTCCCCAATCCACCCAAAAAAGGTTTTAAAGGTTGTCCCCTGACTGGTATATACATCTGAAACTCAAAACACACCAACTCATTTGAGTTTCCTGCCCTCCAGCACCTCCACCATCTCTTGATGCTTCTCACTGGCCTCTCCCGAAGCCATCTCCACGGCCGTCCGTCCCCAGGACGTCGTTTGCTCCGGATCGGCCCCCAAACGAAGAAGGGTCTGGATGATTTGAAGATTCTCCTTCTTGACTGCTGCATGCAGAGGGTAGAGGACTTCCTGCTCCATCCAAGGAAGACACGACTGGAAGTAGCCACGCTTCGCGGGCGAATGGATCCCCCGAAAGCCATGCGCCCGGAAAAAGTGCCGCAACGCCTTCGTGCGTAGTTCTCTCCTGTTCATCCGAGCGGTATGAAGGCTCCGACCCCGGGGAGAGAATCATGCAACATGCCAGCACCTTCAAAGGGGTCACCAACGGAAGCCCCTACACCACTAAGGGACCTCCAAACAGGACACCCCTTGAAGGTCCAGGTGCTGAATCATGTAACATGAATTTCGTCGTGTTATTCTGGGCGTGTGGGCGCCAGAATGATGCGAACCTAAGCATCCAGTGAGTGGATGTTCTGGGTACCCTTAAACTCCACGGATCGCACCCCGTCTTGTGACTGCTGGGGTTTTAATCTGGGTGGGGGGGTCACGTGGGATTCTGCTCCTCCTGGCCCTCCTCATCGATCCAGCGGTGACCTTTGGATCTTCCTCTTCGTCCTCACTCTCCGAGTCGATCCAAGTGATGCCACCGAGGACGTCCGAGGACGCGTCGTCCTGCGAGTGGTGGTCGAAAACATACCACGTTCACCATCACCCTTCTGTGGTGTCACGTGGATGTCATTACTCCAAGAGTGAGACTCTTAGGATGTGAAAACTCCAAGAAAATCAACACTCGATCCGCTCAAGTTTCAGCCGGGTGGTTTCTCCCATGTGGACAAATCTTTGTGGGGATCGTGGACATGTGTCCTCCAGCTTCGCCACAGTTTGAGACCGAGTCACTTCGATCCACAAGGACTTGGTGCGTCTTCGCATCCGAAAAACGGCCAGCGGGTCTCTTCTACTATCACTTCCTCCAACCGAACGTAGCGAACCCGATCGCTCCGTTCGTAGCGTCCTGGCCTCCAAGCTACGCTGCGATGGCCTCCACCTCCCTGGAATCATGGTTATGTTATGGATGGCATGGCCAAAAGGATGGACCCTCTGCCAAATACCAATACAGGCGGCGAACTCCACTTCCAAGGTTAGTCGGTTGGAGGCCATCGCGGGTCGTAGGGTAGAGGAATCGCTAATAGTTTCCGAGGGAAGTGTAGACTTCTAGAATCTTCATGCTGGAAGGAAGACTCTTCAGGGGTTCCAAACAAGGGCGGAGGATATTTTGGCGCCATTCTTTTCCATCTTCCACTCACTAACCTGAGAGTTCTCTTGCTTCCACTCACTAACCTGGTCTTTGCCACGAACAAAACTGTTACACTTTTCTGCCAAAAAAGGAGCCGGATACGTACATCCAACGACAGTTCCGCTGGGGTGTGGTCCTCTTCCTGTTCTAAAGTTGGTGGAACCTCAGAGGGCAAATAGACTCGGCATCTCTCATCGCCAGATGGGACTTCCATCACGCACGCACACACACTTCAGGCTCCACGGATCTCCGCGAACGAGCCCAGGGCGCTGCCCAAAACTCGAGCCAAAGAATGGCTCTGGAAGAAGATCGGGTTGAGGCTTGGAGGCGGTGTTCGGCAGCAAACACCGGGATCGCCCTTTGAGGGGCTAAGGAAAGAGATACTAAGCCACTGGTCCCTGGTTGGGCCACATGTTCAGGTGGAGAAGACATGTTTTTGGGGGATCTGCCATTCAATTCAACCCTCTACACCAGCGACCTGTTCAAACTCCATGGTCTCTCATCTTGCTTGGCAGGTCTACCTCTCCCACGACACTGTCCACCGCTTTCACGACACAGTATCTGAGACTGAAATCCCGACGTTGCCCGCAAAAGCTTGGTTTCTGAACACCCACAGCTCTTGCTTTTGCCTGGGTCGAAACACACCAACTGTTTGCTCACCCTGTGAAGTACTCTCTCACTCTACCTAAAGTCTTCAAAAGTTGTCTGTCCTCTGCAGTAGGAACCTTCAGCTTCAATATTAACCCTCTCCCTGGCGTTTCTGATTGTTTTCATGTCAACCCACATGTCCTTTGAAGTCCTGCGATGCTCCAGATCTCATCGTCTAAACAAGCGCGAACGAATGGCTCCGGAACCGCGCCTGCCGTGGACTTCTCCACGCTGTGAGGTGTTCGAATGGCCTCCTGAAGGGGGCATGCGACGTTTTCTTCACTTCTGCCTGTCCTGGTGTTGGTTGTGTCGAGCTCTGGCCACTTCCAAACGGCTGAGAACAAGCAGATGTAGAGAAAACTGGCGGAACTTCAAGTTCTGAAGGGGCAACTGCTTGGGCTTTCGGAGCCTCCTGTGCATCCGATTCGGACTGGCTTCATGGACTTCTGATCCGATCCATGGAATGTTCTGGATGATAGAGATGGAGCGATGGAGCGGCTACTGTACAAATCCCATGCGTGCGGACCACTTCAGACCGTCGAGGCCTCAAGGCCTGGTGCGGTTTAGTAAGCACTTTAGGTGTTGGAGGGGGCCTCTTGAGGTCAAAGGATTAGTAAGCACAGGACCGGTTCGATGCCAAGGCACTATGTCCCAGATCATCGTCCTTATCCCGGTCATCCCTGGTCGTGTTAATCCCAACTCCAAGTGATCCAGTCTCACCCCCATGTGGTCGTGCTCCGACCCCAAAATCCATGTCACCTGAAAACTCGAAAAAGTGGTCACCGCAAAACTCATCAAAACTCCACAAACCTCCCTCTTTCGTCTCCCATGAAGAATTGACCTCCAAACCTGAACTCTCCCAAAATCCTCAGCTTCCAAAGCTGCACCAATCCTGAACCATCCTGAACAAACCACACCACTCACCACTCACCGCGCCGCCCGTCGCCCCGTCCAACCGCGGATTCCGGGCTCCAGCGCCGACTTGGTGGCGTCGCGGACCGTTCGTACCTCCTGCGGCTCGATGGCACGGGCCTTGGTGGCGAGGTGTCACGGCGGTGTTTCGACGAAGTCGGCGGTGTGGTTGGTCGCTGGTTGTTTCGGGGGGGCAAGGTGAGATGAGAGTGTGGAAATAGGCTGAAGTTCATGGAGTGATTCGCTAAACAATGTTTGAGATGATCATGATAAACAATATAATCACATTGACCAAATGTGATTATATCCAAGAGGTGTTGCACACATTGCCGTCATGGACGGCTTCTTTCGCGGACCATGACTGGCCGGTGCAACCAGTTGAGTTTGTTTCGGAGCAAGATTCATTGGATCCTACCTCCTCAGAAGGTATGGCTGGGCCCTCCTGGCGCCTAATTACAGAAATAGTCTCCAAATGTCTCCAATCACCTTCTCAGAAGGTACTGTATGTGGATCCATAGGGTGTTGGTTTTCCATCTTTGTCAGCAAAACAACATCTCAGTCAACTAATATGGGCAAATGAAATGTGTCTGACCTCTTGAGAATCATCAGTCAACTCAGAATCGTCACAATTACAATATGTCACAATTAAAGAGTTGAACCATGCCTATATATATATATATGCAAAGTGACCACACCAGCACAAAGAGAGCCGTCTATCAGCTTCAGCTGCTTCAGTAATTCCATGCTTTGGAATGTTCTTTTGGCCCACGGCCATGTGTGCCACTGGTGGTCTGACCAAAACCAACTCTCGCGACATCGTCCGGCTGGTATACCGACATCACGCGACATCGACACGCGGCCTGAGGTACGATTGGAGGGGCGGCAATGTCATCCATGATCTTCAAAGCCTTGACATGATGGACCGGAGAGCGTCCCCAGCACTTATTTTTTTTGAGGCTTGTTAGGCGCCAGCGTGTTCCGCGAGCGTCCCGTCTGGGGAATAGATGGTTTTCTTGTACCTTCACAAATGGCCTAAAATTCTTAAAACACAGAACCCCCTGACACATTGATCCCTGGGTCTTTCAACATGGACTTGCCTTTTCTCAGAACAACATGTGCTGAGATACGACAGAGTCATAGGAACGGCCATGTGGGACTCAGAAACGGCCCGCACCGGATTTGCGGTATCGACTACGGTGACTACGTTGACTTTTCCGCATGTGTTGAAACGTGGGACTCTTAGACTTTCCTGGTTGGGACAAATCTATGCTTGAGATGACCCGGACGACCTAACATTGTGATATGTCGTTTAAAGAACCTCAACCATCCCACGAAATCACTGCTCAGTCTCTGCTTAACCAGCAGGTGCTTCGCCCTCGCCGTCCGAAACAGCTGGCGGCCGCGCTCCAGGACACGAGAGGAGGTAGTTTTGGAAGGTGACATCCTCGCGCTTGTCTCAAGCGAGGATCAAAACCCCAAACAAGGCCAGGCCTGCCACTTCTTGTTTGGCCCATCCGGCCAATACCGTGTACTTGGGGGCAAAAAATACGAGCATTGGTCACCTTCTTTGTTTTCAAGTTCCCCTCTGCCCGACGGCAACCATGATACACTCTGCAGTGACCTAAGGTCTACTTCTTGAGCACTAAAAAGCCGCGGAAATGAAGCTAAACAAAACCTCCGGCGCAGGTTGCACCATCTTCCGAAAATATAAAAAGAAGAAAGAACTCGGCCACAGATTGCCAGCCGTTGTTCTAAGTGTTCCATGTGTCGGTTGTTCTCCTGAGTTCTTGGGCTAAACACACTTCAAAACCTCTATATATTGTTCACTGTGCTTAGTGCTTTCACTTCTTTTGCAATTTCTTTTGCAAAACTTGAATGATCCGTGAAGGGAAAGCATGCTGGCAGGTGTTTTTGTGTTCTCGACGTTTCAGTGAAATCACTGGCTTTTCCGTTACTGGGTGGCTCCGATGATTTCATGCTTTTGTTGTTTCCCCTTTCCCTCTCGTTTTTGAAGTCTGAACTGACAAGGTTGCACCAAAGCCGAGAAGGATCCTTTGAACAAGGACCCTAAAATAGGCTTGGAATCCTGCTATTGGTATCCGCCTTTTGCCGAATGTCCAGGCCGAGCCACAACTGGATTGCTCAAAGGTTTATGACATTTGAAAGCTCTAAGTCCGCTCCCTAGGGATCCAAGTACCTTCTCAGAAGGTGATCGGAGACACTGTTATGTAGGTTTGGAGGGTCCAAGTACCTTCTGAGAAGGTACTTGGATCCCTAGGGCCTGAGCCAAGGCAAACCCTGCCACTACAACAGCCTCAGTTATAGCACTGCACACAATGTGCTCACATTGTGCTCACCCTGATTCAGAAAGATGATCGGACTGAATCATATGGATTGGACAAATCCATCCTTTGAATGATTGTCTCGCAATTGCAAGCCGCATCACCCTGCACTTATGCCACACTGCCAGTGGTGCCTCTGAACATGATACTGTTCGACTAGCAAGTGGAAACATATATATACTTCAGAGCTTTCTCTTGGAAGGGTCTACTAGTAGCAGGGCGCCTTACTAGTAGTAAGTAGTAACAAGCTACTAATAGTAAGGCACGTTGCGTCCTGCGTCCCCTTTCCACCAGCGGACCTTGATTCTTCTCGAACCGTCGGACCACCGAGCTCTCTCCTCCGCGGCGATGTGCTTGATGCAAAGCACCTGGGCCATCTGCCGTTCAGATCCCGAGGAGCTCGTGGTGCTATATCCTGACAGGTCCTTAGCTAGAAGCTACTAGGAACAAGGACATTGCTACTAGTAGCTTGTTGTTACTAGTAATGCAATTGTTACTAATAGCGATGCACTTGTTATTAGTAGTGATACACTTGTTACCATAAGGGAATGGATCCTGAGGTTTCTACAGGAGTGGATAGCCTTCCCTCATTCCCTGCGAGTCGCACGAGTCTGCTGTATAGGGTGTCTGTCTCACTTGTCACGACCGCCTCCATAGGGTTGGCTGAGCGGAGCAACGTCGCTACAGGAACTGCCCCTGGGTCGACCTCCACTGCCCCCAGGAACTGGGCGATGATCAAAACCCTTGCATGAAAAAGTGGAATAGCATGGAATAGCTATAAAGGTATCGTGTTTTTTTGGCTCCGGTATCGTTTTTCCAACAAACAATTCACTGAAATATGGTATCGTTTCTGTTCTGGTCTCGTTTTCCATGGTTTGTGCAACTCTGAACATCCACATCTTTACACACCACATGTGTCACTTTTCCACAAGGCCCATGGGTCTTCCACATGGGCCATTTGGGCGGAGGGACGTGCTACCGGTGGATGTGCTCCCAAACATGGCACTTGGGTATACTTGGGTGCTTTTGGCACTCAAGAGTCTTGACTGAGATCATCTGTTGCTAGAGTTGTGGGTTCGGTGGTCTAGTGCGTATGTGTGTTTCAGTGAGTCAAGCTCCCCCAAATCTGTAAAGCAGCCAGCATGCCTTTCCGAGGTGGGTACACGCAAACACCCAACCCATTGGCACTCTGAACATCTCGAAACCAGGCTTCGTGATGGCTTCTGCGCTTGCAAAAGACATGACATACACGATATCATTCCAGTCGATCATCTCCAGAGATTCTCCGGCTTGGTGCTTCAAGACCCATTTAAGCTCGTCATGAAAGACATCGGAAGACCCACAAGCCTGCTGGATGGGGAGACCAGTTGGAGGATGCTGAAGAAGGGGATTCACCTCTAGGGTACACAAATATCACCTGAAGTCATGGCGCCTTATGTTGCTCCATTCTGGGTCACCCGACACCTTTCAGCTGGATGTTGAGCTGGTCGTTACAAACGCACTGCATCAAATACTCCGCCACATCAGGAGTGTCCTGAGGACACCCCACAGATCTGCCAAGCTATGCAGCCAGGATTCAACCAAGGACCTTCTATCAACACTTCCATGTCGGGATGACTCAACCAAGTCCCATCCATGTGAGTAGATCGGCCCCTAGCCTCCAAGTTCGGCACCCCGCAAAAAATGGAATTCCTGGCCTTAAAATTGCCATTCTGTACGTCATTGATGGAACTTGCTTCACAGGAGCTGGCTGTTTTCGATGCCGATTTCCGACCGCACATCTCGCCCGGCTTGTTCGCTCGACCGTGCTGTGCACGCGCAGTTGCGAGTTCGCTCGTCTTCTCAGCCCCGTCCTTGGGGTTATTCCGGACCTGTCCGCGGGCCAGGGCAGTGGACGTAGGCAAGGAATGAATGTCCGAGACAAGCATCGCTAGTAGGTTGGAGGCCATTCGCTACTAGGTTGCACGCCCTCTTCGATGTAGAGGGATGATTCGAAAGGGCTCTGGATCCTCCGATCCATCTCGGATCACTCCCCCGAAGCCGTGATCGCTTTGATAGTACCTTGCAGCCATTGAAAGGCGATAGTTATACAATATGTGGACCAGGTGACCAAGCAACAAGAAGAACGCAACATTTTAACCATCCAAATCATCACTATCATAATTATCATAGCTCCACCTAGAACCCAAGCTTCTCAAATCGCCAAGCCACATCCCTGATGATCTCATTGAATAGCCACCCAGGGGTGGGCCTCAGTTCGTTCGCCCCAAATGTTCCCTTTCAACCCCTTGATCCTTTGCGACTTGGCCGCTTTGCCTTGGTCCAAATCGAAAAATGGCTCGCCCCATGGTCCTGATCTGCTTTGAAGAAAACACTTTTAATTGTACTTCTTCAGCCCAGCCGTTGGGTTAAAAAAACCTCGTCGCGTCGCGGAAAAAGCACGGAGATGCGCGGAGATGGGCACTGAGCTGGGCACTTACTATCAGGCGTAGTTGCCTGGTGTTCCACGAGTTGGCTGCACGAGGGAGTGGTAGGTTTGGTGGAGGCAATGGTGGGTTGGGTACCAAGCTGTCTTGCTGGGTACGGGTGGTTTCCCGGATCACTTGTGGCACTTCAACAAAAGACTATTGGTATGCCAGGACCTCTATTGCATTGTGAAGACACAAACCTCCCCACGATGGTGCAGGATCAAGCGATGGATCCCATCCTTGCAAGAGAACAACATGTCCAAACTCAACCAAATCAGAAGTGAACACAAATTGACAAATCTGCCAGTCGTCTGGATAAATCGTTTCGAAGATCTAAGAGGGCAAACGAAATCTTCAAATTTGCAGATGAAGCTGGATGCTTCAATCCAAGATTTTTGTGAGATACTATTCTCACAATGACCAAAGACCACCTGGAAGTCCAAGCTTCCTAACCCAGATTCCCAAACCCAACCTGTTGGAAGTCTCAACCAAAAATGAAACATCCTAATCCTGCTCTTATGAAGGACTCAATACTACCGGAAATCCCTTCCTGGTGCGTCCTCGAAGTGGACCATGTGTTTCCTTAGCGGCTTAGAGCTTCGCTTCGCTTAGTTGTGGATGGTTCTTGTGTTTTTTTGAAGGATGCCATCACCTCCACCAAAGTTGGTACGGGTTTAAGAAATTTACAGCTGGCTTCATCCTCGATCGAAAAATGAGATGAACACATCAGTGTGTTTCATTTTGCACCCTCTTTGAGAGAACCATTCAGAACGAGCTCAACCGCGGACCACATATCACACGCCGGCAGTGCATTCTGCAGCTGGTTCCAATTCACCATCCGCGTCCCTGGCGACAAAGCCAGATGCGTGATCACTGCGGGCCCCGGATCATCCGCAAACAAGATCAAACAAGTCATTGAGGGACACCGAGGGACACTCCGTGGCTTTTGAAAGCAAAGAATGGGCTGGCGATCTGCCATCGGTTATAACCAAAGGATGATTTCACGTTACACCACCCCACCTATATCCAAAAAAAAGGAATGGAAGACCGATTCTTACAGTTCTCCCAGATGTTGCAAGCATGGTGCAACAACCTGCCGTGTCTCAGAAAGCATGGCTGCCCTGCCCAGCTGCCGCGACCACAGAAAGCTTCCCACCTCGATCAACCCCATCCACGATCAAGCGCCGAACCGCTGACTCGCTGGGCCCGCTCGTTGGGGTCCGCTCGCGCCAATGGGCTGCGGCGTGACCCACACCGCAGAGCACAAACACCTTGATAAGGGAAGAACATCACCTGGTGTTCCATCTCCATACATCTCTTGTTTCAACATGCTTCACTGATATGCACTGCATCATACAACATATATTTTTGACATTATAGTGACTGTCACCGAGTCCAAACCTGGTGCCCTACACCCACCCAAAGCCAAATGCATAAATTCAACATGATTCACAGCCCGCTGACACAACCGGTTTCCTCACAGCATCCTTGCAGCAGCAGTCAACCGTCAGTCACATCTTCGCGAACCGAAGAGAACCAAGCGTGGAGGTCTCCAGGATCTGCGGACCGAAGGCCAAGGTACCAAATTCCAAACACTCGATCTATATATGCATAATATGTATATATATATATATGTCGTATGTGCGCATAAATCAACCCCTGAAACCAACATTTTTTTTTTTACATTGAATGGAGAAAGCGTCTGGGAATGGATGATGGTTCTTTTTCCGCGGCTGCGCCCAGGTCTTCCTCCGCCGGGCGGAAGAGGCAGGACCTTTGAAAGAGGAGCACCTCGTTGCCTCAGACATCAGCATGCACTCAAAAGAGAGGTTGAACCACAAACAAATCATGGGGTTCCCCACGACAAACTTTCACCATGCTATACTGTCAGAACTGAACTCAAAGACTTGTCCCGGCAACCACGACAACCAGCACAAGTGAGAAGGCTTGGCTGGGAAGCAAAGTCTTGAGGAGGTGTCCCCTTCAGTTGATGGCCGGCCAACAGACACCCAACAGACACCCTTCAGATGCATAGAGCCTCTTTCAGATGCATAGAGCCACATTTTTGCAACTTATCATATCTGCGAAACAACAGTTGCCAGGACGAGACAGACTGATTCATGAAAAATCCGGACCCGAGGACGTTCATTGATGGTCCAAGCTTAAGAATCATAGACCATATAATTAATATACCCTAGGGCTCCAAGTACACCCTGAGGAGGTATTTGGACCCTCCAAACCAACACACGAGTCAAGTCTTGCTTTTAAAGCAGGCATCCATGTGGCTGACTGGCTCAGGTTCTACTTTCAAATGGATATCAACCTGGCTCGTGATTCACCGACATCAAAGAACTCTGTTCTTGTCATCGGCTCGGACCCATTCAACCAGGTACCCTGATGCACCCCTCTTCCAGCATCCAAGAGGCCCCAGCTGCACCAATGGGGCCGGAGATTCCGGGCGAAAATCTCCAACTTGGGGCCCTCCGGCAAAAAGGCGTCCAAGAAGGGCTTCCTCCGTCCAAAAGCGGTGTGAATTCCCGGGGGTTCTTCGGTCTGAACCACAAGCAGGTTGAGTGTGCTCCCGAGCGAAGGTTGAAGGACCAGGCCGGCAAGAGTGCTTAAGAAAAACAGGGTGACAACTGACAACGGTCTTTTCTGCATTGCAAGATCCAGGTACTTATGGGTTGCCTCAAATCGTTTTTTTCGTTACAGAACGAACTGGTCGAAGCATCGGGCAGCGGAACTCCTGGTGCAGTGGACCCGACAACCCATCACCCAGGATGGCCCAGAAGTCTACAGATCAACACGAAATCGCCCACTTCGCGCGAGCCGGGTCGTGGGCAACCGGTTGCCCCACGTCACGTTCCCACCCAAAGCCAGCTTCTTCAAAGCCGACCAAATTATGAAGCTTTCTGCTATCCATGGGACTGGCAGATTTACGTTGGGGTGATTTCAGGGGTGAATGTAGGTCAATCTTCCATCTACTCGGAGTGTCATGGGGAACTTTTCTGTGACCCTTGCCATCGACTCTCCGAACCACTCCGAAAAGCCGCGGTCACTTCCTCTGCGGTCGCCTCTCGGAGTGGTCCCCCCCTGAACCGGGTCCCCACATGAACGCGGTCCAGTTGCTGACTATGCACGCCTGGCACCGCGGCAAAGAGGCGACTCTCCTCCAGGCAACGTGGATGCTGAAGCGGCATGCGGCGCACGACACCGGGGCATTCTCGATTTGGGGGGCCCAAGGGTGAAGTGGCGTGGGATGTGCGACCACGTGGACCTGCTCCAACATTGCTTGTGATATAAGATGATATATATTACATATAAGCATATATTATACAGTTTCATTTCTTCACTTGCGTGTGAAATTGAAACGGGTAGATGGAATGATGGAATGGCCGTGAAGATCTGAAAGAAACATATATAAAAATAGAGGGACAATGTTGATCAACCATGGGTGAAGAACTTCAAAACATATCAAAACATCTACAGTACATGCCACTTGGAAACCTTTAAACCTCGACCTTTGTGGCAGGTACTGGATGGTTTCGTCATCGACCGCCGTCCATCCACCCACCGGTGACCTCCTCACCAAGAAGCACCAAGCCGTCCTCATCAAATGCCCGGTGAGTGGATCTCCTGCGGAAGGATAAAGGAGGACCTCCAACCCTAAGAGCGATGGCCTCCAACCTAATAGCGAGGGCCAAATGAACCAAAGATGTTGAATTCCAAGTGAACCAAATGCAACCAAGGGGTCACCAACTCGTTGACTAGGTTCTGGGGTCACCACACATGCCTCTCTCGTGCAGTCTTAGTGAACAGAACAAAAACCTGTAACGCCTGGAGCCTGCAAAGTGTCAAGAAACAACCCAAGCCCCACACCTGTGGTCTCAAAACCGATGATCAAGGGTTCTATCACTTTGTCTTGCAAGCAATGTGGATGTGGTGCAAATGGACTTGACACCGGAATGCAACGACCCCCGAGTGAACGCAATCTCAAGTTGACAAATTCAACGAATCCATGGCGACCATGGCAGGAGGGAGCCAATGTTGACTTCAATTCCAACAAGGTCGCGTAAAATGGAATGAAACAACAATACATCACCATCATCATCATCATCATCATCATCATCATCATCATCATCATCATCATCATCATCATCATC